CCCCCCCCCCCCCCCTCCCGCCCGGTGATTTACCATTGCAGCCCCAAGCTCCTGTTCACCCTCCTCCGCCTCCTCGACGGCGGCAGTAAGCCAGGGATGCTGCAGGGCTTGCTCTGTCGTAAGCCGAGTGTCTGGGTCAACTCTAAGTAGAGCCGACACAAAGTCCATCGCGTTCTGCGACACAGATCTCCAGCAAGCCTTTGGGCACGGCAGCAAAAAAACACATGGTGGAGAAGAGTTTCCGGGGCAACCAACTCACCGCTTGGGGAATATGGAGAACACTCAGGCTGGCTACGGTCACGGATGTCGCCCTGGCCGTGTTGCGCACTACTCGAGCAAATGGAATGACCATGGAGGGGGCCAGGTAACCAGAGAGTGTGCCAAACGACCACCGTGTGGTGCAGCTGTCCACACCACATACGTGTACGATAGCATAGGAACATCCGTGCTGTGTGCACGAGAGCCTGCTTACGTCTTCAAAGCTGACCCGCCCCTTCTTGATGAGGCGAAATAGCTTCTCCGTCCTTGAGGAATTGAACGGAGGGAAGCCGCAGAGCAAGATATGTGTCACTACTCCGACACCCCAGCAGTCAACCTGTTTTGGCAACATGTGCGGGAGCGATGTCGTACAAGGACTTGGTTCTCGGTGAAAAGAACTGCTTTGCAGAGCATGATGGAGAGCGGGAACGATAGCAAGAGCGCGGAGTCAATATTCCAATCCCAACCGATGTAGAAAACATCGAAAGGTCATTCTTATTCTCCTCATCGAACCCTGCAACTACAGCAGCTACAGCCGCAGCACTACTTGTTAGTGAAACGTTGTCTACACAAGCGCGCACTATGCAAGCTGAGCCAGTGCCGGAAACAGTTACGCTTCCACTTGTTTTCTTTTTGGCACACCTGCGTGCCGTGAGGCATCAGTCTAATGCTCTCCGGTGCCATGTAGCTGCGACCGGCCATCCCGAAAGGAGAAGGCGTGCGATCGCGAAGGAGGGGTGCGGGAAGGGACAGCAGGGCGAGACTGACTAGAGAAAGGAAAACGATGAGAAGAAACAGCTAGAGCGCACGCAGGTGTAATGGAGCCTAGCTGGCGAAAACTAGGTAGCGACACTGGTGCGTGGAAAATAGGGACTCTTGGCTACCAGCTTTCTCCTCTGCGCTGCCAGATATGAACACGTTCGTGTTGGGTATGGAACAAAAACTAACGCGATTCGCTTCTCCGCTTCGCTGGACTAGCAGCAGACAGATGTTTTTGTTGCTCGGGAGTACATTTCGAAGTGTCAAAGCCACTACAACAATAATGATTGACCCGGACAACTAGATACGACATTACTAGCCTTGCGCAGCGTCCGCGAGAACAACCTGTTGGTAGTGTTGTGGAAGCTGTTGTCTTCGCATCAACAACCTTCCAGCGGCACCCTTCCCCCCCGCGAACATATCCCATGCAGAGAATGGCCCAAGAAAAATTCCGCCAAGGTTGGACGGGTACCAACCGTGTTGAGTATCGCGAGTATCGTACTGTTGGGGGTGGCCAACAATATTGCATCCAAAAGACTCGGCAACCGTCTTTCGATGTCCCAACTAATCGCAAACCAACCGGGATTCAGACTCCCAGTCAATACGACGATAGCAAGAGCGAAAACCAACAAAGCAAGAGCGACGAACAATCTGGGTTTCCTGCCCACCTCGGGGTGCCACACGGAGTACCGGCAATAGGACCCCGCTCAACGCTTCGAGCCAATCCAAAATCGGAAAGCTGGACGATAAATAGACCGACCGAGCCCAGAAGAAACGATGGGCGAGCACGCCGGGAAGAGAGGACGGACGGCAGGGCGAAGTCGATATTGGAGACAGGTTTCATGCAGGAAACTTCAGGTGGAACTCGCATGGGTAATAACGTCCTCGAACATTGCGAAACGACGTGAGGAACGTAAACAGTAACTTGTATCAGACAGAGACACATAATCGTTGATGAGTTTCCCGATCTTTTCGATAGGGACAGGCTTCTTCGCAACCAGGGAGTAGTTCTAGTCGCACCTCCAACCCACCAGCCACCAGTTCAACCTGTGCAGACTGAAATAGCTACCATTCTTCCAGAGCACAAAGTCGCAAGGGATAACAAATTTTGCATAAATGACGCAAGACGTTATCGTGCGGTGCATCGGCTGCAAATCTTCACCACGACCCTGTCGCGGCTCTAGACTCGAAGCGCGAGTCGTGCAGCACCATATGAAGTATGTTCAAATCTCCGATTTCGCAACCGCATCTGGGCAAATCAATGCGATGCTGTCAGAATCTAAAGAACCGCGCCACGCATTGAACAAGATTTTAGCGGAGAACGTCGCGTCATTATTTGACGGCAAATTGTTTCGGCTATGCATGTGACATCATCATGCTCTCGATGGTGTTGTTCTCTCTTTGGGTGACGACAGAGTTTGGTAGATGTAGATTCTACGTCACGTTCATGTTTTGCCTGTGGAAAGTGATCGCCTCACCGGGAGTTTGGGCGTTTATGCGCCAACTGCACGATGTTTGACGCATACACACGTCGCAATGCACGCCGCAAAAAAAGGCCAGGCAGTTTCTACATGCATCTTCCTCGTGATCTACTTTTTCGTGGCTACGGTAGTTCCTTTCTTGATGCCTTTGAGCGGACCCAGGTTCTCTGGAGCTTGAGTGTTTTCATGTGGGAACTTTAAGATGCGCCCCACGGAACTCGTGTGCGCGTTTCTACGCTTTTGGGTGCTGCAGCTCTGCCCTATATCGGATAAGCCTTGTTCGCATGGCGGGGGGGGGGGGGGGGGG